AAAAAAATCTTTCCCTTTCCCTCCTTTACATGTTCCATAAAACATTTGGACTGGACATTTTTGTGTTGGCATTAGCTGTGAGTGGGAATCTGGCTCTTTTCAGAGAGATGAGCTGCTAATCTCAATTGTAATGGACTCACCAAAAAGCTAATTGAACCACAAAGTCCCCTGATTCTGCCCTGAAAACCCTCAGCTCACTCATGAATGCCTAATACTTGTTCTTGTTTTACCACGGCTTCAGCCTCGTCCTTTTCTCACTGTTCATCTAAACTTCTTGTCTTTTATCTTCTCTGTAGATGGGAAATACCACGTAAACTTCCCATTTTGTTTCCAAAATCCCAAAGGAACACGATGTCTTCATGGGTTCTATATACACAACCTTCTGTGAGTCCATTCACTTACAACTGATCGCTTCTACATTATTTATGGACTTTTTAGCCTTTATTTATAGAACAGTCGAGAGAGACAGTAAAGTTGAGGGAGAGAGAGGAGAAATGGGATGAGGATTTATACATGTTGATATCATATAGTTTATCATATGGTTTTTACAAATATCATGAATTATTATTGAGTTTACAACCTGAACTAACCTTGCCTATGTCATAACAATCTCATGTTACCTAATATTTTAGGAGACTTGACCTTGATACATAATCATGAGGGACTATAGGTTTCCTATCTGCATGTTGGTTGGACCACATGACTTTGTTGGTTGCACAAAATGACAAATATTATTTTTTTAAATACTTCCCCCCCCCATGAATTAGTAAAGATGACACCAAAATACTTAATAAAGATTTCTTCTCAAGAATTTCACACTTTCAATGTTTTTTTCTTTTTCTTATGTGATCAGGCCAGTTGTGTTTCCCTTACATTTTGGACTTTATGCCCTTCTTGACTTTATCAAAATGATTTTTAATTCAGAAATGAAAAACATTCTCATCATAGCAGAGATGTATTCAAGTCATTGTATTTACAGTATGAATTGCATTTTCAATGTATGTTTGGATAAATTAATGGATAGAACAAAAAACACCATTGACCCAGATACCAAAATCTACTTCATGTTAGAATATGAGCACTCAGCTTTGAAAGTATAATCTTAATGCTCATAATGGTCTTATTTGGTCTTATATGTGACCATGGACCACAAAACCAGTCATAAGGGTACATTTTTTGAAATTGAGGTTTATACATCATCTGAAAAAGTGGCAACTGTGAAATACAAAATTATATTTTGAGATATAAAATAATAATTATGAAAAACAAAGTTGCAATTAAAGTGGCAATTGTGAGAAATACAGTCACAACTGTAAGACATAAAATCACAAGAAATAAAATGGCAATCGAGATTCAAAATTATATTGTGAGATATAAAATTACATTTACAAGAAATAGTTGCAAATGTGATCTACAAAAAAATAAAGTAGCAAAAAATAAAGTAGCAGTTGTGAGATATACAGTCAAAACTAAGACACAATCACTTTGCATGATATAAAATTGCAATAACTAGAAATAAATATGAGCAAATAAAAAGCAAATATGAGAAATAAAGTATCAACTGTGAGATATACAGTCACAAATGTAAGACAAAATCTTATTGTGAGACATAAAATCTCATAAATAAATTTATAGTTATGAGATTTCACAATTTCAAAAAAAAATTATTAGAAGAAAAAATCATTTAAAATGTAAAAAAAGTCACGTTGTGAGATAAAAAATGTAATTATGAAAAATAAAGTCAAAATTATGAAAATATAAAGTTTTAATGAATAATTATTCACTTGATTTGATTATTAACTTTTTAACTGGCTTCCATAACAATGTGCATGTGATTCATTGTTTTCCATGTTATTCCTGTTTAAATGTCAAATTCAAAACTCTGTGGCAACGTTTTTCAACCATTTCAGATCTGGCTTCTGTGCCACATTTGTAATGTAACGATGATTATATTGAAACCCAAAAATCATTGTTCATTGCTTTCTTTACTTGCTTCTCTCTCATTCTCTCAGGTGGCTGTTCGGAGAGCTGACATGTTTGTGCTATGCTGTATGTGGCGTCCTCTTCGGCTTATCCAGCCTGACAAATCTCACCGCTCTGTCGTCCGTCTGCTGCCTCAAAGTCTGCTTCCCAAACTATGGTATTCTTCCTCGACACCTTTCACACCAAATACATTTATCTTCCTCCCTGGCCCTCATCCATATCTTAATTAGGAATCAGTTGCAGCTCCACAAATCCCTTCTGTCCTGCCGTGATGCACCCCAAAGGAAAATGCGACTTAAGACTGGTTTTGTGGTCCAGGGTCACATATGTTTTTATTGGTCTAATGGCCTCTATTATTGTTGCTAAACTGCTAATTCCTAGAATTGTTAGCTTTGATTTGCACTTGATGCTGACCTTGAATTTTCTGAATAGGATGCAATTGCATGAAACACCCCAAGGTATTTAAGGTTTAATTGCTTTACATCATTGCCTGGAAAATAATGTTAAATAAGCATTATAAAACTTACCACAAGGATGTGAGGTTATGCACTTGATGAATTGAACAATAATAAATCCAAATCATAAATCTAAAACCACCATTCTAAAAACCAAACTAAATAGCTGTGTTTCATTCCACTTTCTTAAATTTAAGTTTTAAGTTTGTTACATGATTGTGTGCCAATCATAAACTTGTATTTATGCATTAGGTATGTTTTTATCCAAATTTTGATTCTTGAGATACGGCAATACTGTATTGTAAATGTTAAAGTGTTGAGGGATGTTAGAACAAAACTTCAGAGGTTATTGGCAAGTGGAGCACGAGGACATATGGCAGTTTAAAGAGTGACTTCAAATCGTAAAGTGTCCGAATAAATCATAGCCATTTCAGGTCTTGCCAAGCTGTCAGAGCAATAACAAAACTGTAAAATAGGGGTTGCAGGGAGTTAGAACAAGGAAAAACAAAAAAGGTGCTTGCGTTAGTGACTATTCACCAAATTTTTTTTTTTCCTCTTTTTAGGTATTCTGTCACTCTTGGGAAATGGCATCCTGCTCCTTGTTGCGTATCGTAAGAGATCATCTCTCAAGCCGGCAGAATTCTTCATCATAAATTTATCTATTAGTGACCTTGGGATGACAGTTACTCTCTTTCCCTTGGCGATTCCATCAGCCTTTGCTCACAAGTAGGCAGATGCCATAAGAAGTCTGTGCTAAAATATTCCCACCCCCATATCAGAGACAATGTCTAAAGCAGCTCTGATGCTCCATTTCATTGACACAGGACGACACCTTTCACACCAAATACATTTATCTTCCTCCCTGGCCCTCATCCATATCTTAATTAGGAATCAGTTGCAGCTCCACAAATCCCTTCTGTCCTGCCGTGATGCACCCCAAAGGAAAATTCATTACCTTATGGCTTTCAGTGTCATTATTGGATATTCTAGCTTTTATCAGGCTCTAGATGCCCCTTGTTCATTTGGCTTTTGGTCAATACTCCCATGTATGGACAGCAGCAGTTGGCCTCATTAGAGTTCATTAGTTTTGTCAGTTTCAACTTTTGACTGACTGGTAAAAAGATGAAGGGGTGTGTGGGAGAGAGGAGACAATTTAGATGGAGTAGATTAACGGCATGTGGGTGAGCTTGAGAACAGAGATTTAGATGGCAAGGAGGACAGCAGGTGAACAGATGGATTCTGTAGGTGGAAGAGAAGCAAACATATTTGGGATGCAGTTAAAACCTTATTTTAAAGGACATGTTGCCAGATAGGTTGTGAATCTTTAGCTCTGAACCTGTCAGCCTTTGCTCACAAGTAGGCAGATGCCATAAGAAGTCTGTGCTAAAATATTCCCACCCCCATATCAGAGACAATGTCTAAAGCAGCTCTGATGCTCCATTTCATTGACACAGGACCAAAGCTGCAGTAGTACTGCCTAACACTGTGCCACAATGTGACAAACTTTATACAGCTGGATAATGCAGTTGAGTAGGAACACCTACTTGCAACCAAAAATACAGCAGCTTGACATTTTATCATGCTGCAGATGGTTGAGACGCAGCGTTAGACTTTGCTATTTTCATGACAATCAGAATTAGTCTTGTTTTTTGTTCTAGTACTAGAATCAACAATGTATGGAAGCCTTTTTCAGTCTCAAGAGTAAAAATAAAACAAGTAATAATTGAGATAAAGTTTAAAATAAGAAAAGTAAGTCTCATTGTGAGATCAATTGTTGTATAAATTGACAGAAATAAGTCACAATTACAAAATATAAAGTTGCAATTATTAGAAAAAAAATCACATTTGTGACAAAAAAAAATCACATAGTGAGATATAAAATCGCAATCACAAAGATAAAGTGGCAACTGTGAAATACAAAATTATATTTTGAGATATAAAATAATAATTATGAAAAACAAAGTTGCAATTAAAGTGGCAATTGTGAGAAATACAGTCACAACTGTAAGACATAAAATCACAAGAAATAAAATGGCAATCGAGATTCAAAAGAAGCAAACATATTTGGGATGCAGTTAAAACCTTATTTTAAAGGACATGTTGCCAGATAGGTTGTGAATCTTTAGCTCTGAACCTCATAGATGCCATAATTATAGAGTAATATAGTACATTATAGTTTATGTAAGCAGTGTTGGGGTCTGTTCACACAGAACACGTTTTTCCATTTCACCGTGCTACTTTTCCATTTTCCATGTAAGCTTGCACTAGACAGACATGTTTAACTGTTGCGCTCACGTCTCGCGTCTTTTTGCAGCATCTCGCACACGACACAGCGTTCTAAAAATGTGGTGTTTAAGTCTGAAAAAGTACAGCTTTTTAAAAAATGTATCAAGACCTTGCATTTTTTCCCATTCCATTGCTCACATCACACGTTTTTCAAAGCAAAAACACATTCTGTGTGAACCGGCCCTTGAGGGTAACCAAGGAGTGCGTAAGCATTCCCATTCATCTCAATGGTAATTGCTCAGCTGACGCACTCATAAGTACGCAGCCTGCATACTACCATCTATGCTTATCTGAGGATTTCATAAGCGAAACAGTATTTTTACATTCTTTATATTTTACATTCTGGCTATGGTGTCATAAACAGCAGGGTCCATTCAATTAAATGGGTCCGTGTAAAATCCTGGTTTGTAATGTCTAATCAAATGCATGAAGATTGTAGGGTAATTGACTTGTAGAGTATAGACTTAAGCTAGAAATATGCTAGTGTAGTTTGCTGAAATTTAAAAAAAAAAAAAGGCGAAAAGAAAGAAATGTATAATATCGCAATATATAGTGATTTACCATTAGATGAGAATTTTTATAGGACATTAATGGTCATATTTACATATGACAGCATATATCATAAATCTAACTTTTAGGTTTTCTAATCAGGCTTAGAACAAGGTTCCCATTAAAAGGTCTTTCAGTCAACTGAATTGCTTTGAGGTCTTGCTTGGACTCATTTGACAAGGGCAAACCCTATATGTGACCCTGGACCACAAAACCAGTCATAAGGGTCAATTTTTCAAAATTGAGATTTGTACATCATCTGAAAGCTGAATAAATAAGCTTTGCATTGGACAATATTTGGCCGAGATACAACTATTTGAAAATCTGGAATTTGAGGGTGCAAAAAAATCAAAATCACATTTAAAGTTGTCCAAATTAAGTTCTTGGCAATGCATATTACTAATCAAAAATTAAGTTTTTATATATTTACAGTAGGAAATTTACATGATCTTTACTTAATGTCCTAATGATTTTTGGCATAAAAGAAAAATCAATAATTTTGACCCATACAATGTTTTTTAGCTATTGCTACAAATATACTCCAGCGACTTAAGACTGGGTTTGTGGTCCAGGGTCACATATAGTGCTGCAGTGATGTACTTTTGTAGGCCAAACCGGAAGTTAGCATCACCCTGGTTCCCTTGACCAAACCTTGATTTTTCCATTGGCTTTTTGATTATTACAGAAATGTTTTGTTCATCATGATAGTTGTCACAAATGAACACAACTTTTATGAATTTTGAAGGCTAAATACAATCGGAAGAAGTAAAAAGCTAAACGTAGGCTGTAAACAGACTACACCGTGGACTTCAGCATCACCATCACTAAGCTTCCAACAACTCTTTCAGTCTTTATTTTAAAAAACATTTTTGCTGAAAGTTTGAGTTAGAGTAGTTTGCAAGAGTGTGATTATACACACAACAAGGCTGTAAAAGCGGACTAGTGAGTAGATGAGTTTATCTGTTTGGTGTGATGGCATTTAAAGTACCCAACAACCCCTGTAATCCCATTTAGACACTTGTTAGAAACCGCCTTTTTCAAGACAATGGGCTATTACTGATGTATTTTACGGTGTAGAATAAAACATAAAAATATCTTGAGCTTGTGTTAACCACAGACCGCATATCGAGTCAAGTCACATTCATCTAGCGCTTTATACAATACTGATTGTGTCAAAGCAGCTTTACAGTGTTAAACAGGAAAAACGTATGCTGATTATGCAGGAGGGCTCTCCGTCATTGGTGGGCTCGGGCTGATGGTCTGCACCGCGGGGAGATGGTGGGCTGGGCTCTGGGTCAGGAGTGGATCTGGCGAGATCATCCTTGGGAGAGACGGTGAGAGGCGATCCGTTTCTCGCCAGAATCCACTCCACAAATGCAGCGAAATCCTCTGGAGGACCATCTTCGGACGACGGCGCTCTGCTCGCGGTGTTCAAGCTTGCGTCATAGAATGAGCAGAGCACATCGTCCGGGTATCTGGTGGTGCTAGCTAACAGCCAGAACAGTCTTGTATGGTCCTCGAGAGATCTCTCCCCCTGCTCCAGCGAAAGAGGGCATCCATGAAGGGAAACACAACGGAAACAAAAACACTAAGAGAAAACAGGAAACTAAAACGGAGGGTGGACACGGAGGGTCTTCTGTCACGATTTGCTGTGGGAGGAACGATGGAGACGCAGAGAAACGTTCAACAGTCTTAATTACTTGAATCACAGGGGTAAATCCACAACAGGAACAGGGGAAACACACAACATCCAACAAGTAATCAAACTAAACAAGAACAGGAAAAAGACCATAAAAGGAAAACACAGGAAGAACTACAGAGGCAAAACGGGTCCAAAAGTCTGACAATATTATAGGCTATGTTTTATTTATATGTAGCGAATAAGCTCATGGGGAAATATGAATAATTAATCATAACTAGTTATAATTAATTACAAATATTTAGATCCGATGTAGATATTTACTTGACCTCTCAGGGTCAACTGTCTGTCAATTCTAAGAACGTTAATTTCCTGGTTAAGGTTGTGTGTTTGATTGGTCCAGACGCTACATATAATATTTTTTTTTTTATATCAAAGCATGTTTTAACCCATATATAACAGTCCATATTAGCCCATATATAACAGTCCATATTAGCCCATATAAAAACATGTTATTTATCGCAGGGATTTTGAGTCCTCTTCAGGAGAGAGCAGTTAAATCGTTTGGAGGTTTTTGTATTTGCTAGTTTGGGGAACAGGCACAGTCTCTATTGTGTGACGTCTAGGTGAAAGAGTCTATATGTGCTGAGAATTAACTGACTTCTGTGACATGAGGCAGCTAGCAGACGGTCGGTTTAGCCAGTTTGTCTGCTTCCTGACCTGAGCCTCAGTTAGTCAAGTACAAACTCTAAGACTATGTGCCATATTTCTAGAGAGAAGAGCGGCACCACCCCTGGAGGGATGAAGACCATCTCTTTTCAACAGGTCAGGTCTGCCCCAAAAACTCGTCCAATTGTCTATGAAACCTATGTTTTTCTGCGGACACCACTTAGACATCCAGCCATTGAGTGACAACAGTCTGCTATGTATCTCGTCAACACAGAACAGAAGAGCCATGTTTTGTCCCGCGACTATGCCGCCTCAGTCACTCTGCAACTGGAACCGAACAATGTACGAGACTCACTAAGCTAGTCACATCCAAAGTCGTATCTAAGGCCCTCACATTCTTACTATCCTCAATTAAAGTTTGGATGCGTGTCTCTAGTTCTGAAATCTTCTCTGTCAGCCTAACTATTTCCCTGCATTTATCGCATGTGAATCCCTCGCCGCTGAAAGAGAAGGCTACACTATACATGTGGCAAGCAGTACAAGTGACAATAACAGGAGAAGCCATTACTCGCCAAGATTCTTGAATGATTCTGACTTACCACATTTGTTTGATGAACTTGTGAAAAACGGAGCGAGAGAGAGAGAGAAAAGAAATGGTAGGCACAAATGACAAGCTAACAGGCTAACAGAATGCTAATGTGCTGCACTCGAGGTTTAGATTAAAAATCAAACAATATCAAATTAGTTTGATAGATAATATCAGAAATATGGTGAGAATTAAGTTATATTTTAGCCGTTTAAACAACAGAAAGTGATAGTAAGAGAGATTCCAACAGAAAAACAAAGCTTCACTGAGCTACAATCACAAACCACTCAGCAGCACAGCAGACAGGAACCGGAAACAAGTCAATCAAACTGAACGGCATATGCCTGCATCCCTTTTGATCAGAGCCACAGCTCTGATACAGCGATGGGTTACCCTGACATTAAACCGACCCAGTCGCCAGGCATGGGATGGAACATGGGCTTTGAGCCAAAATTGGTGAGGGCGCATGTGAAGCAGGCCTAGAGGAATCACAGAGGAGGTGGCTGCCATTAGGCCGAGCGTCCTCTGGAAACTCCTGAGGGGACCCGAAGTTCCTGGCTTGAAAGATGCCGCCAGTCACTGAATAGTCAGGGACCATTCCGGCGTAAGCCATGCCCGCATCTGGGCCGAGTCTATAACAGTCCCCAGAAAGACTGCTCGCTGTCTGGGAGACAATTGACTCTTGTGCGAGCTGATTTTCAACCCGAGGCCCTCCAGATGGCTTATCAGCAGCGATCTGTGTGCGATTAGCTCCCGTTCTGATCTGGCTAAAACCAGCCAGTCGTCGAGGTAATTGAGGATGCGGATTCTGATCTGTCTCAGAGGGGGAAAAGCCGCGTCGATGCACTTCGTAAAAGTGCGAGGGGCCAGAGACAGTCCAATAGGACTGTGTACTGATAGGCCACTCCCTCGAATCTAAAGAACGGTCTGTGGCGGGGGGTTATGTGGATGTGAAAGTATGCATCTTTCAGATCCACTGTCAGAAACCAGTCCTCGGGACAAACCTGCGCGAGGATCTGTTTCAAAGTTAACATCCTGAATGGCCGTCTGATAAGAGAGCTATTCAGAAGTCTGAGATCTAGAATAAATCTGTGCCCGCTGTCCTTCTTCGGCACAAGGAAGTAGCGGCTGAAAAGCCTGACTTGCTGTTCGCTAGAGGTACTGCTTCCACGGCACCTTTTGCAAGCAATGTTTGTACTTCAGACCGAAGAACATGAGCTTCGTTGTTCTGTACCAAAGTGTGAATAATACCTCTGAAACGAGGTGGCCTGCGAGCGAACTGGAGCGAGTAACCTCGTTTTATCATATTTAGAACCCAACTTGAAACACCGGGAACGGCTGCCCAAGCCTTGAACCGGGTGGCAAGAGGTTCTAATTTTACGAATGGAAGTTTGCCGTACAAGGGCGGGGAACTTGTATTTATGAGAGTGAGGAGAGGAGAAATTATCTTTTGTATATGTCTGCTATCAGCGGTAGTTTGCTTGGGCATGCACTGAACTTGAAGGACGTGCCCAGCTTGAATAATACTTCCATCACTCAGTGTTGAACGGAGGGATGGAGAGCGAGCGCAAGCTTTCTTAGAGGGGATCCCAGCCTCAGCGAGAATTGATTCTTCCTTTTCCTCTCAAAAGTGCTTCGCTAGGTTAATGCTCTCTCAGTGAGAGCAGTCAGCCCCCGTGAGCGCAGCCTTGGCGTGGCCCAGTCTATGCTGTGTGCATCTTTAGATCCGCCTAAAAGGATAAAACCGCTCGATGCAGACGAGGGGTGCTAATCCTCAAGCGTAAAACACACTGCCGGATCAGTGTGTTGTAGGAAGAGTGAAGCACGCGGGACCTATTCCGGAGTGAAATCACTCCAGCCCTATTTCTCAGCTCCGCGACTTCACAGTTTCATCCTCCAAGGCAACTGGGAGGGGAGAACATGAGCATGGGAGGGATGGGGCCGCCTTCATTGAAAAAGGCGAACCGCGAGCGAAGCAGAGCGAGATATACGCTCTCATCGTGAGAGCGATCTGTCTCAGTAAGCGCAGCCCCAGCGTGGGCGTGGCCCAGGCGAGCGGCACACTCAAAACTGAAGCTGTCAGCGATATAGAATCATTGGTGACAGTATTCTCATTTGATCCGTCAAAAAAGATCGAACCGCTCGAAGCAGACGAGGGCTGCTAATCTTTACATATAAAACACACCAGCAGGTCAAAGAGCTGCGTGGAGAGTGAAGCACACGGGATCTGTGCCGGCGTGAATCACTCAATCCTGGTTGCTCAACACCGTGAGTTCGCCATTTCTTCCTTCGAGGCAGCTGAGAGGGAGAAACGGGAGGGGAGGGGTCGTCTTCATTGAAGAAAGCGATCCGCGAGTGAAGCTGGGACAGACTCATGCTTTCGCAGTGAAAGCAGCCTGTCTCAGCGAGCACAGCCTCAGTGGCGCACACACAAATGAAGTTGTCAGCAATACAGAATCATTGGTGACAGCATTTTACTCCAACCTGCCTAGAAGGATTGAGCCGCTCGATGTAATGAGGGGCGCTGATCCTTACGTGTAAAATACACCGGCGGATCAAAGTGGTGGGAGAGAGTGAACACGTGGGCTCTATGCCGGCATGCAATCACACAACCTGGTTGCTCAGCTCCGCGTCTCACCATTTCTTTCTCCGAGCTCGCTGAGAGAGGAGAAACGAGGGCGGGGCTGCCTTCATTGAAGGTGATTCGCGAGTGGAGAAGAGCAAGACTCATGCTCTCAGTGAGCGCATTCCGTCTCAGTGAGTGCGCAGTCTCTGCATGGGCGCTGCCCAGATGGGCAACGCACTCACTGCGTCCTTCCGGGAAGCCCTGCACGAGCCCCACTCGCGGCGCGACATTTGGAACAACATCGCTAGGAAATTTTCTCAGAAATTTGCTCTCTTAGTGCGCCGGATAGCTGCAGGGGAAGGCTTCTTCCTCTGCTGGGGCTCTTTGATGGCGGCAAGCTGCAGGCTAAGCTTCTTCCTTCTTCGGCTTCGTAGTCCAGCGTCAGCGAAGAGATGATCCTCGTCGCTGAAGGAGAATATTCTGATGAAATGACGCTCTGAGCTGACTTATATAGAGGTCGGCTCCACCCATTCTGGCGGGCTAGAGCGCTATTGGTTTGTGCAGCTACACAAACATGAACAAATCAGGCTTCAGTATCAGTGTAAAGAGGAGTTTCCCCATACACAACGTGAGAGAAAGTTCGAAAGGGAACTCGCTTATGAGTTTTGGTCTAAAAAAATGTCACCCCCACAGCATCCTATTGTTCATGACTTCAATGTTCTATGGCCTCCCTTCAAAAAAAATTGTTCATGTACTTCTGGCAAATTGCAAGAATAAGGGAATAAGGATGATTGATGTTTGATCGATAACTCATCTACACAGCATAGCTTTCTTGGTACAGAATCTTTCCCTCGTAAGCACATGGGAGATGAATGGATTGGGGCAACATGAAGTGGTGTGCTTCTAAAAGGAAAAAGTTTTGGTTTCAAAATGTGTTTTTCAGTTTTCATTTTATGTTTCTAATCAGTAGTTCGTATGTAATATTCTCCAGCACAGTATAAAACATTTAAGAGTGATCAGTACTTTGTGCTAAATAAATACTTCTATGATTTGCTTTCCTTTAACAGGTAACAAATTCTCCTACTCCCATGCCTGTCTGATGATAGTGGGGGTGTGGTGCTATGCCATGGTGTTTGCTGTGGGTCCCTTGGCAAATTGGGGTCACTATGGCCCTGAACCCTATGGGACAGCATGCTGCATAGACTGGTAAGTGCCTGGTAAGCATTGAAAGATTCTCAGGAAAACAGACAAAGCCAAAAAGTCAGCCTAAAGGTGATGTGTGTAATTTATATGCCATTAGCGGCACTGCAGCTCGCTGCCACAATACTAGGGTTTTCTGTGTGATTGTCTGGGCATTGCAGTTGTTCAGGTGTTCTAAGTGTTTATATGTGTGTGTGTGTGTGTGTGTGTGTGTGTGTGTGTGTTTTCTGGTGTTCTGAGTGTCCCTATTCCTGTCTAGAGACTGATATTCTGGTCTTTAGATATGGCTCGGGTCTCTCCATATGTACAAGTATATTGGAATTTGTTTTATTATCTGCCAAGGAAAAATAGTAAATGTGATCACTTTGGTAGTTTTGTAGTGCCACAGAGCTACATTGTACTTTTCACTCTTTGGAAAGTCAGCCTACAAATGGTTTACTTATAGTTGCAAAATTAACTGGGATAGGAGAAAGTATTTTATCATCAAAAATGACACATTTCTTAAAGTAATCGAATGCACTGCATGTTCTATTGAGATCACATGGAGCGCACTCTAACAAAATTACTCCACTCTTTTTATGGTTTTATTTTTGAATATTGCTGCCTTTGAACCCACAATTGCTGGCTTGTCTCGGTGCCTTATCCATTCGGCCACTGGGGTGGGGTTTATGTGCCCCCAATAATTATCGGTCCTGGACAGGTGGTTCAGTGACATTTGAATGGTATTTGAAACAAACATAGTGATCTAGATCAAAGTGTACTTCAACAGCTCCTCAGAACATTCATGCAGCATTGCTATAGTTTAAGGACTAAGAGGTTTTGTGTTTTACATCTGGACTGTGGAATAGACCCATATCCATAAGTGGTTTAATCATGAAGTCAGTGGGTTTTTGGTTAGACGGGGAGAAATATAAAACATTCTGAGAAATGGATCCCATAGACTGAAGTCGAGAAACAATAAACTAGATGAATGTCTCATTCAACTGCTTCTCAAAACATTGGTACTGTATTCCAATAGTGTTAGGACTAAGAGGCTTTGTGTTTTACACCTGGACCAAGGAATTCATACTGTAGCAAAGAATAGTTTTGATCCATCAACCTCTGAGTTATGGGACCTCGCCTTAGGAGAAATCCTATACCCAGGTATTTTCAAAACAACTTGACTTTTGGCCTGTATTAAGTGCTGCTTTTCATATGTAAGGTTTGGCTAAACAATGGCCAGTTTATCATAGGACTGTGGCAGCCTTGCTTTGAGTAAAAACTAAGTATCTACTGTACATAAGTAAAAAAGTCCTAGTAGCGGATGGTTTTGATTCATCAACCTCTTGGTTAGGCTCTTTAAACATTTTGCTTAAACCCACCCTGGATGGACCTTGAACTCACAAACTTAGGTGGCCCAGAGATACCACCAATTTGGGCATATGAACAAAGGCATATCAGGGTCACTATATTGGGGAAAAAAACGGTTGGGATGATTCAGACAATCAGCAATCAGTGATTTTAGCCCAGGGAAATAAACTGTACAGAGGTCCCAGAAACTCTAGCAGTGCTCCTGATTACCATCACCACTGATATGTCATGTCCTCTTTTCATCTTTTAGGTATGCACCAAGCCAGGATACTCTGTCCATGTCCTATATTATCTGCCTCTTCCTCTTCTGCTATGCCCTGCCTCTCGCCATCATCCTCCTCTCCTACATTCTGATCCTCATCACTGTAAGAGGGTCACGGCAGGCAGTACAGCAACATGTGTCGCCACAGACCAAGACAACAAATGCACATATCCTCATTGTGAAGGTGAGAGTGCAAAACCTCAGTGCTTAAGGACTGGGTGCAATGACATGCAGAGTCATTTAAAAGAGATGTTTTCAGACTGGGCTCCAGGAAACCCAAGAAGGACGCAAGTGGGTGCTAGGGGGCCATGAAAAAATTAGAAATTAAAATAAATAAATAAATAATAATAGTAATAATAGTCTCAAAAATGCGGGATGAAACAGCCCCTATTTCAGATTTTTAGAAAGTAGCTGTCTGAGATGACAAATGGCAACATAGTTTATGTAACATTAGCAATGGATTATTAGCTGTTTGATAACGTTTTCAAGTCAAAGGATAATTATATTAATTACTGTTACCTGTATGTGCCCAACATTGGAGAGAGTGATACATAAAATGCATTACCATTCTGATACTGTACATGGACTTGTAGACAACCCTGTGTAATTTGTTTTTCCTCTTAATTCTCTCGTAAGAATGTAGAGTTTTTTTCCATGCCATTTTAGGGAAGAAGGCATTATTTTCACGTCACTTTCTGATTGTTTGAGTTTTAAGGGATACAATTAATGATTGTAGAGGGACTTAATTTCTACTGTTGAAAAGTACTGTTTCCACTGCAAATGAAGAATGACCCATTTATTTCTTTTCTCCAGAAAGTGTGAAAATGTTCTCATGAGTTTTTTCTGTTTCTCTCATAGCTCTCAGTGGCGGTGTGCATTGGTTTTCTGACCGCCTGGAGCCCTTACGCTGTTGTAGCAATGTGGGCTGCATTTGTGGAACCCAGTACAGTTCCCCCTATAGCCTTTGCATTCGCAGCTATCTTTGCCAAATCCTCCACTACCTACAACCCTGTGGTGTACCTGGTATTCAAGCCTAACTTTCGTAAATCTCTGAGCAAGGACACCGCTCAGATTCGCAAACGAATATGTTCCAGCCCGTGCAAAGGAAGCCCTGTGCCTGGTGAGAAGGATCTTCAACGGCAAACATCTCTACGCTGCAACAAGGATGCTAGCAACTCCACTCGACTCTCCAACGGCCTGGTGGACAGCCATGGGGCTTGTCTTCATTGCACAGAGGCGGGCCCTCATTGTCAACAGACCCCGCCTCAAAGGGCTGCCCGTGTGCTGATCGGTACATCCTACAGCGAGGTGACTGTGAGTCAGCTGCCAGAGAAGATGCAGGCTGACCTTCTGTGAAGGCCCTGTAGGCTCTCCTCATGCCAGGACAAGTGTGAGGAATAGATGGATAGGCAGCCTCAAAATGAAACTTCTGGCCACTAGAGATAAGCTTGATGTGTCAGAGACAAACTGTGGTCACTTCTGATACTGATGTCATGTATAAGGAGCTGCAAAACAATTGACCCTGCACTAAGTCCCACCTTAAAAAGGTTACTGACCAATCCTACCGTAGCAACTGTTGCTGTCCACAGTTTTATCAGACTAGCTTGTGCTGTTTTACTGAAAGTATGTTAAAAAAAAATAATTTGTGATTCATTCACTGTGAAAAATAACAAAAGATGAGTTAAATAAGGTAAGCAGCTGCAAAGCATTTTGGAGTTTTCTCAACTTCAGTAGTTAGTTGTACCTAATTAAAACTAGAACTAGTTAATTGTACCTAAATAGAACATTTTTTTGAAAGGTATGATGGCTGCTCATTACTACTTAGTTAAATCAACCTTCCTCAGCAAATACATCTGACACAACATTAAGAATTTTTTGAACACTAAATATTTTGTTGAATAAACTATCAGTCTAACTTTAAATTAGAATAACATGCATTTTCGAAACAACAGACTATGCTAAACTTTACCAATCATTTTGTTCACTTAAACCCTGACCCTTTGCTTCAATCGAATGCTTACATTTATATCTGCCTCCATCTAAACAACAACAGATGGATAGAATACTCAAATGTATGTCACAATACAGAACAAAAAAGATCTGTCACTACATCCATAACATTGTGAGTTTAGGAAAAACATTTTCACAACTGTCTAGCCCTGAAAGTTAATAAACGTAAAATTGCGTAGCAGTTGTTAATATGGATATATTCAAAGAACTGGACAAACCTAACCAAAATTAACATTAATCGCAATAATGGTGACCTAAAATGTAAAACATCGAAAACACTACATATATTGTCAACATTTAAATCTAAATAACAATTAATGTACACATCTTTGTAATTCCCCATGTTTTGATCAAACATGGACATTTAAATTATCCAAGTGCAAGGGATTATGTGTATTCCTCTAGCCACAATGTTATTTTAAAAGGCATACTCAGTAATGCAGCTATGTGAGGTTCAAATTGTAACATTTACAAAATTTACACTTTAGAATTGTGTGCATAATAACCTAAAGGAAAATATTAAATACATTCCATATGATATATGAAAATAATAATACTCAAATCAAGTCAAGCTGTGATTAAGTCATTAGTGGCAATTATAAGCATGGTGGAATGAGTGATCAAACTTGACATTATTATTTATCAGTATTTAAAATTACCTAAAAGCTAACTTTTACTTTTTTTATGTCAACTTTTAATATTAGATTACATAGAGTGTGTCTAACAAAGTGGAAGTTTTGAAAACATGGAACATTCTATTAGACTTGCCTGAACCAAGGAGTCAGTGTAGGGCTGGTCGGTTAACATGTGTACATTTGCCCCTGCTGGTAGATTGTGCAACTACATCATCTGGCCCAAAAAAAAAACTAAATTATATATATATATAGTTATCCGATACCTCACAAATCAGACTAGTCAGCTGACATTTTTTTTATTTTATTTTTTTAACAATTCTAATTGATTGTTTTTACGGTTTAGTTGAAATTCCTTATCTGGTACCCCAAAATAAAAGAAAGAAGGAGTCATCTGACACGCTCACACTTAAATGACCTGATATCTGTAATAATAATCTGACCACTACATTAATTTGGTGCCACATGTGAGAACCACTATAACAGTATGTATCACTGGCAAAAACTATCCACATATTCTGACCAAAATGTATTTTTGCAAGCAATATCAACTACTCCATTTTACGGTCCACTCAAAACCCACGTAGGTCATAAAAATGTTTGTGTGAAAATCTCTCCTTAGCTCATTGCGGTGAACCATGACTTTGCCAGGATCACCAACATAACAAGAAACAGTGGCTGACTTTGTTTAGCTAATAGCACAGCTGTTGGCAGATCAGATCTTGTGATATTAGACGAAGGTAATTAATCTTTCAATGAAGTAGTGACAAAGAAGAAGAGGAGATTCTTGTTTGCCATTACTTAAGTTTTCCAGAACACCAACTTCTCTATGGAGAAAGAAAGAAAGAATAAAAGAAAGACAAGGGTCAGCTAAAGGAGTAAGCCTTGGGGAGGACATGAGTTTTATGTCTTGCTCAAGAGCACAACATCTGACATCTATGTCAGCAGACCGTCTGTATGCTGTCCTGACATTAACATCCTCATAAAATGGTATTTGTGTTCTACAAAAGTGTCTGTACATTCCACAATGCACTGTTGTTTTATACTCTATGTATATTGTTGTTAAACACCACTAACAGTTATGAAAAGAAATCATTTAAAACGTGCATGTAATATTAGTTTTTTAAAAGCAGCTGCAATTAAAAAAAATAAATGAAAAAAATAATAATAATTTGATCATTACATGAACTAAAATACATTTCTGGATGTGGGAATATGATATCATATGACATTCTGTAACAATGAAGCATTTATTGCTATTTTCATCCATGAGCTATGATAGACTATACAACAAGACTCACTGATTTCAATCTGCCATTAGTTTTGAAAGTAGAACAAGTTAAATTAATCAGATGATCAATAGAATGTTCTTATCATAAATATTTTAATTTCACTTCATTTTAATTTCATTTTCTTTTTATTTGATCAAAACATATGATTTTAGATTATTACTCACTTTCCATAAAACCCCTAGAGTGTCCAGAGCATATAACCCAATATAGATAACTTGAAGATTAATATATATTATAGTTAAGATAAAATAAAAATATAAATCTTTGAAAGAATCATTTCTACATCTGTCAAACTGAGGAGGTTTATGTTAAAAATATATGGATTTTCAATTTATTCATAATCCAAATTGAATGCTTGATTTGGAATTTATATTTGAAATGTGTAATAAATAAAATAAATACATTGAGAAAATGAAAGAAGCAGGAGGTTGCACTAAAGGTTAAGATGAGCCAAGTCCCATACTTGCCAAAAAACAATATATATAATATATCCTACAGTAATCATGTGTGGAAGGACAATGTGTAAAACAATAAGGTGACAATCATATGATAAAAGTACAAAACATGGTAAATAGATATATCACAATAAGCTGTTCATATCACATTTCCCCAAAAATTTGTGTATAATTTCTTGAAGAAAATTAAGCTAATTTAACATAACATTCTTTCCCCAACTTGTTATTTTTTTTATGGTGATTGTCATTGAATCGTTTAGTGCATCAGATACTATATCAGGTACTATTTATTAATTTTTTTTGTTTGTTTTATATTTATTTCTTTATAATTCTATATCTCTCTGTCTGTCTGTCTGTCTGTCTATCTATCTTTTTTCCATTACAGTAATGATAATTGGCAAGGTAGTGTTCTTAACTGTCATGAAAGCACAATGCCAAACATTTTAATCTTCATTTTCATTGTACAAAATATAATTAATTATTTCATTTGATTTTGGGTGAAACATGACATGGAAATGTTCTTGACCGATTTGCTTGGAGGGTATCTGGGAAAATGAGAGTGACCTTGCCGAGATGACTCCTTGTTTGAGTATAGACTAATCCTTCGCCTGGCTTCCGGTTTAAAACAGCTACGGCCTGCGGGGACTGTGAAAATCCTTCTTTAGCAGTTGCACTGAATTTCACCCCTTGATTTAAAACCTTTTTTTTTTTTCAGGCTGTGAGCTTTCATTTCTGACTAATGTCACACTGGCACTATGTGGAGTCATTTTTACTCACAGGGCAGATTTATAAAAGGCTAAGCCTATCCCTAAACCCAGCCTTAACCCATCACTCATTTCATCTGGATTGCTAATCTTCTCCCAAAATCACCCCAGGATGACATTTACCTCTCACAGTGTTGATCAACAGTTGCTGGGACAAGTGTAGTGTTTTCCTCACCTGTACATTATAACGGTGGCAGCCCCCAAAATGAGATTTAAAGTTAATTAAGGTAAATACCTGAATTAAATTGTTTGGGCATCAGACAAGACAAAGAAAATGGTAACACTTTATTTTAAGGACCAGTTCTCACTATTAGCATGCATATTACTAGCATATTGGTTGTTTATTAGCACTTATAAAGCACATATTAATGCCTTATTCTGCATGACCATATTTTAGATCCCGTAATCCTACCCCACACCTAAACTTAACAACTGCCTTACTAACTATTAATAAACAGCAAATTAGGAGTTTGTTAAGGGAAAACTAGATTTTTTTTCAAGCCAGAAGAATGTAATTTAAGTACATGCAAAAACATCTGAAGAAAATGAAGGGGGGGGGAACAAACAAACAATCTTCCAATGTTTTTTCCACAGCATTTATATAATTGAAATCAATAACAACAACAAACAAATACACTGAGAAAGCAACAGGCTTTCCACGTGGGCCATATTGTTCAATTCAATCTTCACAAGATCAACGAGTCCAATGAAAATGTCCAATGAAAATGAAAGAGTTCACAAGTCAATAAAACACAAAAGAAGTTAGTTTTCCCTTACTCAGATTTGGAAAACAGTCAAGGTTCACACACACACACACACACACACACAGACACACAAAGAAGGGAATTTAATCCCACCTGCATTATATTGGTGTGTGTGTGTGTGTGTGTGTGTTTCCTTCCACTTCCGTTTCACTCTTATATACCGTTTTCCCCATTTCCTCCTAATTTGTGGACAAAGTGCAAAAGCTGGTATGGATTTTTTTTTCCGTATCGCCACAACATGTGCTGATATCATATTCAAACAAAAATGTGTCATGGTTTAGCTTTCCTGTGTCCTGTTAGGTCTTTCTGTTAAAGGGACAGTCACCCAAATATGAGAGTTCTGTCATCATTAACTCACCCTCATGTCATTCCAAACCTGTTTGAACCTGTTGAGACCATTTTTTATTTCTTTTGTGGAACACACACACACACTAAAGATATTATTTAATGAAAATGTTCTGTTGCACTTCAACAAGACATACTGTGCCAGTTTGATGCTGATGATTAAACACACGAAAAACTGACAGGAAGTCATACTTTTGGAACGACGTGAGGATGAGTAAATGTTTGCAGAATGTTAATTTCAGCGTGAACTTTTCCTTTCATTTCTGGTCACACTGACCATTCTGTGAAATATTGTGTATATTCTGTAAATAAAATTGCAACAGAGATCATATTTCTGGCTATTATCTTGAATACGTTTTGGAATGCACTGTGCAAAGAAATGTTTACATATCATGCAATAGTCATTTTGGAAATAAAAGTTTATTATACTAAATCATAGTTGCATCTCGCAGTTCCTAAAACATCTAGAAATGAAAGGTTTTTTTTCTCATGTTTATTTATTTATTTATTTTTCCATATGGTCGTTATACTTTTTATTTTATTCAGTTTTAGTTGTAGTTATTTTAGCACATCAAGATAAACTAAATGAAAATAAGGAACGTTTCCTTGGCAACTACCTGAAATTAATTAATATATTTCATG